AGTGAAATGCCCTCAGGATTTATCTTGAGATCCTGTACCTCAGATTGTAGAACCTTTGTCAGTGTCAGCCATGTGGATGAGTCACGGCCAATGCTTGGCCTATGTGCTCTCTGTGAAAGACACTGAGAGAGTGTCTTCTCCCCATGTGACTCTCCTTAGGCACACTCTATGTCATCGATCACTTTCTTCTTTGGCCCCATTATCTTCTTGATCAGAAAATCCCAATGATTTCTTTTGACATGAGGAAACTTTTCAAAAAGATGAGATCCAAATTGTTGATTCTTTGAAGTATTTCCAGTGCCGTTTGGTTTTGTTCATGAACTCTTTACTCCTATGTCTTTAATATTTCTGTCTACATTTTTGTCCAGGAGATTTAATGTTTCTGTTTTATTATTATTATTATTTTTATTGGATACAGGGTCTCATCATGCAGTTCAGATTTGTAGTAATCCTCATGTCTCAGCCTACCCAGCACTAGGATTACAGGCATGCACCACCACACCCAGCATGGCACACATGGAGTTCTGGGGCCAGCATGGCATGTGGTACGAGGGATTGAACCTGATTCCTTGTGCTTGCCAGGAAGGTGCTTAGACTGCTGAGATATCTCCCCAGCCTCTAGTATGTCTGTTTTAATGTTTAAATCTTTGATCCATTTTGACTGTAGTCTAGTGCATGGTGATAGTCATAGGTCTAATTTTAGCCTTTGGCATGTGGAAAGCCAGTTTTTCCAGCACCATTTATTAAAGGAGCTATCTTTCTTCCAGTGAATGTGTTTGACCCCTTTGTCAAAGATAGGGTGGCTGAGTGTATTTATAGTTGTGTCTGCATCTTCTGGTCTGTTCCGCTGATCCTCAGGGCTCTCTTTATGCTAACTCCATGATGATTTTATCGTGGTAACTTTGCAGTATAATTTCAGTGATGCTTCCTGTCTTCTTTTTGTTGCCCAGGATTGCTTTTGATATACGAAGATGTCTTCCAGTTCCTGATGAATTTTAGCAATGTTTCTCTAGCTTTGTGAGGTATACTAATGGTATTTTAATCAAGATGGCATTGAATCTGAATATCAATTTTGGGAGTATGGCCATTTTCACAATATTGATTATTCCTATCCAGGAAATTCCTTTTTCTAAATCCTCGTCAATCTCTTTCCTCGGTGTACTGTAATTTTCACTAT